AGCAAGATGCCAGTTAGTGCCTTTATAGCACTTATGATGTTCATTCTCACACCCCATTTCACCCAAAAGAAAAACACAAAGAACCAGCAACGATAAGTAGAAGTTCCTATCATATATACTCCTGTAAGAGTCAAACTCATAATAAGTTGAGAATATTGTGTCCAGTTTTGGGCACCACAATTGAATAGAGATATTGACAAGCTGGAATGTGTCCAGAGAAGGGCGACTAAAATGACCAAGGGTCTGGAGAACAAGCCCTATGAGGAGCAGCTTAAGGAACTGGGCATGTTTAGCCTGAAAAAGAGAAGGCTGAGAGGAGATATGACAGCCATGTATAAATATGTGAAAGGAAGCCACAGGGAGGAGGGAGCAGGCTTGTTTTCTGCTTCCCTGGAGACTAGGACGCGGAACAATGGTTTCATACTACAAGGAAGGAGATTCCACCTGAACATTAGGAAGAACTTCCTGACTGTGAGAGCCGTTCAGCAGTGGAACTCTCTGCCCCGGAGTGCGGTGGAGGCTCCTTCTTTGGAGGTTTTTAAACAGAGGCTAGATGGCCATCTGTCAGGGGTGCTTTGAATGCAATATTCCTGCTTCTTGGCAGGGGGTTGGACTGGATGGCCCATGAGGTCTCTTCCAACTCTATGATTCTATGATTCTAACAGGTTCTGGGGGCAACATTATAGATTGTGAAATGACATGTGGAAAAGTCAGGGCTCATTCTGAAGAGGTGAGAAAACATTTCTGCCACCTCTGGAGACCAGCCATTCCTGGCCTCCATCACCATTTTCCCACCCCAGCATTCAAAGAGGCCAGAAATGGTGATATGGTGGAGAGAGTAGAACATGGAAGGGTTGATGCTTCTTTTTGCTTCTTCTGAGATAGATTACACTCTCATCTTTTATCTATACATTTTTATTATGCATTAAAAATGTAATCACACAAAGAAAAAGGGGAATAAACATGGGATAAGGGTTGTGGAGATCTGATTAGTAGATTAGGACTATATAAATGTTGTCTACTATATCACTGAGGAAGAGGAAAGGGATTGAGGTGGAAGATAACTTACATTTGTTATAATTGTTATATCTATATCATCTAAAGTGAAAATTTCAAATGTCCTCTATAACAGAACAGAACACACTCTAGTTGTCTGATGTCAAGACTAGTAGTCATATGTTCCCGTGCTCTCATCTTTCACCATAGAAAGGGATTCGTCCTTTTTAAATTAACATTTAATGTAATGTTAATGTTACATTGACTCATGAATAAGTCGATCCAGGTTTTTGGAGTTGATTTTTTGACTAAAATTTTGAGACGTATACATGATTATCTAAAGTGTATCTTTTCATAGAGCATGTTACAGTAGTCCAAGTGGGATGTAACTAAGGCATGTACTACCGTGACCAGTTCCTGCATCTCAAGGAATGGACACAGGTAGCACACAAGTTTTAAATGTGCAGCGTTAATCTCTGCATCACAGAAATCTAAGCTTCCAGATTCAATGCCAAGTCCAGGACTACACCCAAATTGCACACGAGTGCATTCAGGAGCAATGTAATCCTGTTTAACAAAGGCTTGCTCCCCATTTCTTAATCTGACTTCTGACTGACCTCTATCTTGTCTGGATTAAGTTTCAAGTTGTTTGCTCTCATCCAGACCATTATTGATGACAGACACTAGTTTAGGACTGGGACAGCTTCCTTGGCTTGTGCTAAAAAAGTAGTACAGCTAGGAGTCATCTGCATAAAGATGGCACCAGACACAAAAACTCTGGATGAGTCCTTCCAGAGGTCTCATACATATGTTGAAAAGCACAGGGGACAAAACAGAGTCCCAGGGGCCCCACAGGCCAATGGCTAGATCAGGCATGGGAAACTCCGGCTGTTAGGAAATGTGGTAATTAAAGTCCAAAAAACCTGGAGGGCCAAAATTTGTCCATGTCTGGGTTAGATGCTCAAACAGGAATCCCACAGCATAACCTTCTGGCTTTGTCCCTCCAGGAAGGAACAGAGTTACTGTAAACCAGTTCCTCCAAGTCCCATCTCAGTAAGGTGACACAGAAGAAGACCAGGTCTGAAACTGGATTGAAATGGATCAAGATAATCAATTTCATCTAGAACCTCTGGAGTTGGGGAACCACTAAACACTCCAGTACTTTGTCCAGAAATAGAAGATTTGAGACTGGTCTGTAGTTGTTAAGTATAGTAGGGTCTACATCATATTGTTCATCCCAACTAGAGCAAATCCATAAAAAAAATGGGATTTACCGATGTAATCAATTGGTATCATTAAACAATTGATTCAACAGGGAAAACCAGCAAGAATCTAGCTTCTATCTGGGTAGTGCTGTAGAGCAGCAAACATCATGCCATGACAACGGTCTACTTGGGAGGTGCTCTGAGATTCAAGGAATGTCTGGACTCTCTGACCAAAGTCCCAGTGCCAAAAGCCCTCTGATGCCTTTTGGCTGTGAGTGAGAACACATTACGTGGGGGGGGGGGGATCAACTGCCCCCTTTTCTAGATTTATCACCTCTAGAGTAACAGAACTTTAATTCCTCTATATTCACAATTGTAGCATGATTGCCATAACTGAAAATGCCATCCCCAACACTTTTAAGAGCCAGCAGCTGCGCCAAGTGATAGAGGTCTCCTGAAACTGAAAAATCACTAATAAAGACATTGTTAATTTTTTACCTGAAAAAAAACAACACCTCTCTAAGGATTCCTAGGTCTTCTAGCACTGCTTTATGGTCTACAACATTGCTTCTCAACCTGTGGGTTCCCAGATTTTTGGCTTTCAACTCCCAGAAATCCTAACAGCTGGTAAACTGGCTGGGATTTCTGGGAGTAGTGGGCCAAAACACCTGGGGACCCACAGGTTGAGAAGCACTGGTCTAGAAGCTGAATATAAAATTGCATTGTAGGACCTAGAGATTCCTAGAGAAGTCTTCTCTCTAGAAATCCCTAGGTGCTCTAAAATGACTCAAGGAAGCTGACCATAGAGTCACAATGGAGAAATTAGAGAATTCTAGAACAAATATTTTACTGAAATCTGTGAACAATCCAATCTGTAAAAGTCAAAAGGGCAAATGTGGAGGGATGTCTATACTCGGTTTTACACAAATGAAACAGGGAATAATAGAAATGATACTGTTTGTCAGCTGTCATTTTTCTTTACACAGAAAGTCAAATACTGAATAGAAAATTGGCTATAGGTTTTCAGTTGCAAGGTCAAAATTCAGTAGGAGAAAACGCACAGAAAATGAAAAAGAAATAATCTATTACTTACAAATAATCCACCCCAGAATGGGTAGCCTCCGATAAAAGCAAAAAAATATGCCAAGCTAACAAGAAAAAATGAAATAGTCCGAAAACAAATGTGTATCAACCTATTGAAGATCTGGATGACCTGTGGGTTAAGTTAAAGAAAAGATAGGACTCCTAGCCCTCCTGATGAAATAATGAGAGTGAACAATAATTTCAATCTGGCCACCAAAGAGAAGAAGCAAAATCCATTTCATACCTTAAAGATTTTTCTTTAACCCTATTTTCCAGTTGGTAGCTGGTTTACTGTATATAGTATCCTTCTTCTTTTGTTTTTTTTAAAGGCAAGAATGGGGATCTTTTTTCCCCATAAAGACTACATACCATTTGGCCAAAATGATTAGGGCATGCACGTCAGTGTTGACAAGAATTGCCTGGATCAAAGCCTGAGATCTAGGGATGCCCACCCCAGTGATGGCATGAAGCATTAAATACCAACCACAGTTGCTCACACCTTGTCAATCTACTCTCTCACATAGAATGATAACATATTTTCTTAGTTAAAGGGGATGTCCCCCCCTCCCCCCCCCCAAAAAAGAGAAGAATTTAAGGGATTATCCCTTCCCACTTGGAGGTAAGCCGTGATGCCACAACAAATGGGCTGAGATGGGTAGCTAACAAACATAGACAAGAGCTTTCCAAACATGTTGGTGCATTGGCTGCTGTGTGTCACAGAAACAAAATGAGAAATGACAAACATTTTGGAAATGTATGCTATTATCTCACAAATCATATATTTTAATAAATATAAATGAAAGGTTCTCATGAAATATGTTGTGTCCCCATATATTTTATTATTACAATTTATATATGTGTCTGTATCTCTTATAAGGGGTTGGTTTAACCTCCAGTTTGCCAGTTTAACTGAATGACTGTGTCACAAAATGACACAGTTATGTTTCAAACATGTGTCACTGACATGAAATGTTTGGAAAGCTCTGCCATAGACCTAACGGAAAATCTTTGCAAGTTACAACTGAAATGAGCCCTGAAACACCTTTTCATTACAAACCACACTCTGTCCAGATAATCCAGTAAGTAGGAGTTTATTTAAAGACGAGTATATATTAAAATAAGCAAATTCAAAAAAGAGAATAAAAGTTCAAAAGGTTATTTCCATTATAGCCGAGAGTCCAAAATCCTTTCAAATACAATCTTCAGAGATAATCCACAAATATATCCATAAACAAAATAGCATGAATCCAAGGCAGGCAACCTATGCCACACATGAACTAGAAGCAAGAACAGAAACTTGAATACATGAATTCCAAGAACATAGAGCCAAAGACCAAGAGCTGTTCACTTGAATACAACGTTGCTCTCACAAAGGATTGTACCAGCAGGAACCACTTTAAAAGGCCTCAATCCCTCCCATAACATCATTTACTTTGGATGTTCCAGGAATTTGTGGACAGCTGGATCAGGCAGAATCCTGTGTCGACTTCTCCAATAGACCCCCTGCTGGTCACAAATTCCCCAATCCTCAATTTGGAATTAGTGTATATTTGGTCTGTGGCTTCTGACTGAACTCACATATTAATTATTTAAAGATGATTAGCAAACAAGTTTATTAAAAATTGGAGATGATTTATACATACATAATTCCAAAATATTGAGATGATATTCAACCATGTATATTATTGTTTACATCAACATTGACCATGTAATGTCAATAAATATGAATAGTTAAGACAGAATTCTTTTACATTACAGCTTCAAACATTTTGAAGTAATTTGCTTACAGAATTTGCTATGAAAGCATAGTGGACCATATACAATTTTGACTTCTTAACTATTCATATTTATAGACATGTCATTTCCAAATAAAATACATAGCTTAAACATATTTCAATAATCAATCAGTGATATTGTGTTCATATTAATAATACAGTCATTCTAATGAGGGAGACAGTATATATTTTCTTTAAGGGGGTGTGACAATTGGCCTTTTCATAGAAGTGTCACCCCTTTTACATAAGGGAAAGAAGGAAAAAGTGTCTCCTTTGACTCATATTTTTAATACTGCTTGTGTATAAATACATTTAAGCTGGAAAAATGAAGGAAGAGATCACTTAAAATGATCAAAAGGCTTTCAGTTAGTGATGTTTGGACCTCCATAGTGCACAGCCTAGAAGAACCAGAGAACGTTACTGAATGTTGCTTATACATTTGATAACTGTTTCTGGGTTCCAGACTGGGACCCTCCTTACTGCACCCAAATATGAATAGTCTTTGCAAGGTCCTTACTTGCTTAGGTGGTGATGGAGCCTGTGGAGCTTCTGAACCCAGCAAGACAACTTCTTGTCATTTTCAGCGGATGTTTTTGAAATAAAAACATTGCCCTATATACTCATGTATAAATGTAGAAATTTTAGTCAAAAAATAACCCCCAAAACGTAGCTGAATGTGACTACTGTATCCTAACTATTTAAAAAGGAACCACCCCATTCTGCTAGGCAAGAGTTTACCTTGGTACAGGAGAGACTTGGGCCCCTTCTACACTGCTATCTAAAATCCAGATTATCAGCTTTGAACTGGAATATATGGTAGTTAATGTGGATTATCTGCTTTGATAATCTGGAATACAGGGCAGTGTAGAAGGATCTGATCTTAGATTATTTGTTTATTCCAGATTATCTGGCAGTGGAGACCCATATAATCCAGTTTAAATCAGATAATCTGGGGTCAGATCCTGGGATATAGGGCAGTGTAGAAGGGGCCTCAAAGAAGAACTCAGTTCTTCTACCTTCTTTGGCACGGTGCTGCCTTTGGCCTTTTTGAATGGGTAGGCAGGGAAATGGTGGTCAGGCATTTTTGAAAGTGGTCTCCCTTGGGTCACATTGAAATCCCTGATTTTGGTCCCCAAACCTTCCATTGCTTTCTACAAGAGGTTGACTTGTACCTGAGTATATACAGTAATCTACTAAATGCCATTTAGTGCAATATATTCTCAGTAGCTGTAATACATTTTGCAAAATTTGAAAAAGGAAATGCTTCATATTTTACTTCTGAGGTGCCTGGATGACAGACATGGCTGGTGCAATGGCTCTCATAATTTCCTCCATTTATTCTTCATTCCCCTTGAAACAAGGCTCCAGAGACTCATAAATTGGAGGAGCAGAAGGATGGATTTCAGGAAGCATCATCGTATCCCCACCGATAGTGCATGGCACATAAACCACAGCCTCCTGTAACATAAGGACAAAGACAAGGCTCCATAAGAAAAGGGCAGTTTTCAGGAAGCATCATCACATCCTTACTGACAGTTTATTGCACACAAACCACAGCTTCCTGTAACATAAAAAAAATTCCAATCTCAGAAACATGATCTATGCTATCACCGTGTTCATTGGCTTTATCATTGCAGCGGTGTAAAATCCCACCTTTACATTTTATTTGGCATTGCCTTCCCTGAGGATGAATGAGTGTGATTTACCAAAAGTCACCCAATGTTTTCATAGCAAAGCGGGGATTTGAACCCTGATTGCCAGAGCTGTAGTCCAATACAGAAATCACGTAACCATGCTGGATCTCACATATATTATATAGTATTTGTATATTTGTAAGGAAAATATACATTACTGGACATGATAGTAACTGGTTTGATTTAGGTTGAATCCACATTGGCACTTTTGTCTGAAATTGTTATCATTTCTTGATTATCAAAAATCCATTAAGTTATGAAGTTCACTAGGGGCCCATCCAGACAGGCCCATAACCTGGGACCTATCTAAGTTTTTACTAGAGGCATCCAAACAACGCCTCCGGTAAAAACAAAGGAATTCAGAGTAAACCAGTGTTTCACTGATTTGTTCCAAATTATTTACACATCTAGTAAGATTGGGTTTTAAGGTAAGATCCGGGTCTTACCAGGTGTGGGCCCTGTGTGGATTCGACCCTGGGAACACGTCACGAGATTTCCGGGCCCAATCCAGATAGCCATCTTGGTTTTTCAGGCTCCTGGAGCCCAAAATACAGAGAGGGCACACACCTGCTCCTCACATACCCCAAATTTTCCCCTAAAAATTAAATAAAACATATTTGGCCACCATAACGTTCCTCCTCGCACTCTCCTAACGTAAGGAAATGACGTTCCAGGAGGGTGCAAAGAGCAAAGTTATAGCATCCAGGTATCCTTTATTTAATTTTTATAGGGGGAAATTTGGGGGGCTTTGGGGTGGTTGTATGTCATCCCGGTTGTAATCTGGATGTTATGTAGCCAGCCACCCCCCCCCCCAGGAAAATCTATGTGTGTGTGTGTGTGTGGGGGGGGGGAGGATTAGGGACAGGAATCTGTGCCAAAGCAGGTTTTTAAAAACTCGTTTCAGTGTGGATTTTGGGACTGTCTGGAAGCGCTCTAGATGGTCTTGAGCAAGTCAGTGTCTGGCCTGAACTCCATTGTTATTTCCAATTGGAACAGACCCATCAAATCAATCAAATTTACCCAAATTTACCCACTGTTTAATAATTGATTCAGCAGGCATGTTGTATTTGAGACTAACTAACAGGAGTAGCATAAAAGCATAATAAAAAAGAAGAGCAATCTCAGGCCCCTTCTACACTACCATATAATCCAGATTATCAAAGCAGATAATCTACATTATCTGATTTGAACTGGATTATTTTAGTCTACACTGCCATATAATTCAGTTTAAGGCAAATAACCTGGATTTTATTTGGCACTGTAGAAGAGGCCTCAGTCTGCCAAAGAATGTCTTCTCAGATTCCAGATATGGTATCCAAAGCTTACCGGGTCACTTTTACAGCAGGTTGCCTGGCACCCAAAGTGTATTGCAGAAACAGTGATGCAGAACTCCAACAAAATGAACAAGAGGAGCAAGATATAGATTCCAGTTGTGACATTTTGAATCTGGAAAGACATTTTGGGGGTGTGAAGATGGGTTTTGGGAGGAAAAAACATATGAAATATATAGCTCTTGGTTCAGCTGAAGAGTTTAAATAATTTATGTTCAATTGAAGCATCATGTTTGGGACAGAAGTGGTGACAAACTGGGTGGCCGAGATGTCTACTTGGCATACAGAATTGGGGGGGGGGGGAATGCACCTTTTAGAAAGATATTCTCAAAAACAGTGATAGTGGGCATGAAGCTGGGAAGGGACTTACTTTAAACTGCAATATCACAAGCAGGTTCCAAGTATGCCTGTGTTATGGAATGAATATTATGAAATACTGGGAGTTGCAGTTTTACAAGATCTTTAGACTTCTCTGTCAAATGGTGCTAGTGCCTCACCAAACTACAATCCCATAGCTCCATAGCAGTGAGTCGTAACAGTTAAAGTGGGGGGTCAAACTGTATCCGAGTAGATACATGCCTAGTGTTAATTCAGTTTTAAACAATGAGTTATTTATACTGACTTATGCTGACTTTCTTATGCTAAATGGTTTTCCTTTACACTGAGCCCTCCACATGAACTGGGGTTAGGGGCACAGAATCCCCATGAAAGTGAAAGTATAAAACAGTGCCTCCCAGTCCATCCGGGCGAGATGACTCAGAAGGATACCATGGTAAATGGTATCAAAAGCCACTGATAGATCCAGGAGAACCAACAGGGACACACTCCCCCTGTTGAACTCTCTTTGTAAGTCATCCACCAAGGCAACCAATGCTGTTTCTGTTCCACAACCAGGCCTGAAACCAGATTGAAATGAATCCAGATAATCCATTTCATCCAAAAATTCTTGGAGTTGAGAGGCCACCACACACTCAGAAATGAAAGGTTGGCCAATAATTGTTCATTATGGAGAGGTTCAGGGATGGCTTTTTACAATTGCATCCTACAGGCAAGTTGCAAGTTTCCTTGTTCCAAGGAAGCATTGACCACCACCTTCACTCACTCTGCTAGTCAGGCCCATAGCCCCTTAAGAGTTCAACCCCCCCCCCCCACCCCTGTGACAGGTTAAAACAAACCTGGTTAACTCATTAATTGGTTAACCAGTTGAAATTCATAAGTAAACCAGGATTTATTTTTAACCTGACACATTTCAGGAGAGTTTGAACCCTGAAAAGCCCCCCCCCCCCCCCCCCCCCCCCCCCCCAGCTACAAGCCAGCTGCCAGTCCCCCTCTGGCATGTTTGATCAGCCAGGAAGGCCAGATACATGTGGTAGCTCTCAGCTCTCCAAGTATCCTGTCCACATCCACAGGCTGCACCAACTGAAAAGTATCCATCTACACTAGACAAGCAGGAGCCAAAGTTACATCCATTGGAATTATGTCAATAACAGCATCCAAGTTGGAACGGATCTGATTGACTTTACCTGCAAAGTGCCTTGCAAATTCTTCATAGTGGGCTGCTGAATGGTCAGTATAAGGACCAGTATGTAATAGTCATTTGACCACTCAAAACAGCTCAGCTGGATGGTTCCTTGCAGATGCAATGGTGACAGCAAGGAATGATTTCTCTGCTACTGCCACTGCCTCGAAGTAGGCTTTTAAATATGCGCTAGTCTGTAGTTGGTCAGATTCACTTTGGTTTCTCTGCCAATGTTGCTCTAGTCTCCATCTCACTTGCTTCGCCACCAACTCCTTGGAAAACCAAGGGGCTGGTTTGGCTCTGCTCCATGAGAGGGGATGTTCAGGGGCAATTGTGTCCACTGCCCTGGCCATTTCCCCATTCCAGAGGTCAGCCAGAGCTTCAACAGAATTGCCTGCCAAGGTGACAGGAAAATCCCCAGAAGCTACCAGGAATCCATCCGGATCCATAAGCCTCCAATATTGATGGGCCAATATTGTGTATTGTGTATGTTGTTTTTTATGGTTTTAAACTGAATATTGTTGTTTGTTGTACTGTTGTAAACCGCGTTGAGTCGCCAATTTAGGCTGAGAAACGGCGGTATACAAGCACAGTAATAAATAAAATAAATATAGACCATCTTAATCGGTTCCCCACCCCTGCAGAGGTTTGGAGTCCTAGTGAGTCTAAACCTGAATAGCAGTTAAATATTTAATAGACAGAAATATTAGCATATTCATCTATTTATTGCCTGTAAAAATTCTTAACCTTGAGGGCAAGAAATGTCTGCTTAGACCTCAGAGATTTCCAAAACCAGGTTTATAAAACCACAAACCAAAGACAGATGAATAGAAGAGAATCATATGTGTAATTTGAGGGGGTTTTGCTTTTACTTTCAGAATGTTTCTAATTACCCAAAAGTTAGTTTATGTATTAATTAAACTAATGAGAACTGTTGTGGTGAACAGCAGAAAACTCAAGGTACATAGCATTTCTCTCCATTGACATATATTGATCCTTTTGGATCTTAACTATAACGACGGTGTCCTGATGAGATTTCCCCTTACCATTGTGAATCCAAAGTTATCTCGATGAGAGCAATTTGAATGGACGTAGCGATTAACTGCAATCAAACCTACTATATAGAAAATAGTGCCAATCAATGATATTATGGCGCTTATCAAGTTCATCCCCACACTACATTGCACCTGAAAGAGATAGACAAAGAATGAAGCTACCAATAAAGAAAGAAAGAAAGAAAGAAAGAAAGAAAGAAAGAAAGAAAGAAAGAAAGCATATTCTTTATGAAGTGAAATTGTCACATAAACGGAGTCCTCCACTCAAATTAATTTCAAGCGAAGCATACCTTAAACAACTCATAAGCACGTCTTCTGCTATAATGGACTCTGGATCCTGTGTTGCTGTAGGCATGGATATTTTTTCCCATGTTACTAAGACCATGCCAGTAGCTTCATGCCACATCAGAAGGAAACATATCCATGCTCCTGTGTCCACCATCAGGATCAATTATTCAAGAAACAAGGGACAATGCCACCCCAGATCTCCTGGCGCTTCTGATATTACAGGTCAAGTATCCAAAATGTTTTGAACCCTACTTGTTTTGGACTTTTACACATTTTGGAATATTTGTATATACATAATGAAATATTTTGGAGATGTGACCTAATAAACAATGTAAGTAGCATAGCATATACTGGATTTGAGAGGCTCGAGAAAGACATGAGGCTAGAGAGAGACTGAGGATCTATGAATGACAATAAGCCAAGGATATGTCTCAGTGAGAATCCAGATCCTTGTATCTCTCTCCAGCCTTGTGTTTCTTGCATCTCTCTCCAGCCTCTCTACTTTCTCTGGGAAGCCTGGTTTCACCTTGCAAATAAATACCATGTTTAATCAATTATAAGATGCCATAATTATAAGATGTACATTAATTTCAAATTTTGATTCTTAAAAAAATCTTAGAATATGTGAGGAGGGGGATCAAGAGGACATGAGAGGCAGCTATTATTTTGGCTCCCCACTGCATGCTTGTCCTCACCTTATCATCTTTGTTTTGCTGCCAAGCCGCATAGCGAGGCGGCAGCTGGATCTTGGAGGTTCAACCACGGAGCTGATGGCTCCCATCACAACCCGGATTACTACTTCCAGGTTGGCTCCATGGCTGAAGTGTCTACCACTGCTTGCTCATCTCAGCCAATATGTGTGGCTTCTTGTGTTGAGGCTGTCACTACCACTCTTAGGATCCCATCACATTGAGGCCAAGAAGCTGAGGGACAGCGGAGGAAATCGCGGGGCATTATCACACAATGTTTCCTTACCATCAGGGATCGTGGGATGCCTCCCCACAATGTTTTCCTGCTGTCTCTGGCTTTTCCCCACTTCATCTCCAGCTTCTTCTGTGAGGAGTTGGGTGTACACACAATTCCTCTGGGCTCAGTTTTTCTGCACTGGAAGGCACGCTGCCAGCACAGAGCCTGATGGAGCGCTGCTGGAAGTAGCCCTGTGTCATATGATGGACTTTGGGGGAGTCCGTTCCAGCAACATACCAGCAGCACAGAGAAGCAAGAAGACATTTCTCGGCCTCAATAGGATTAGGTCCTTTGTCACTGGGATTCTATTTCACTCCAGGTATTCTATTTCACCTTTATTGCAAGGTGGTTGTTGTTGTGTGTTTTTTTTTCTTAAAAAAGGGGGGATATTTTTGGAACTTTGATTTGGGGTTAAACCCTGAATCTTAGAATCACTGAACTATGGTAAATTACTTCTGCTACCTCAAAGGTAGAAGTAGGTAGCTGGTAGCAAAAAGTTTTGGATTTTAGTTTTTCTGATTGGGGGGAATCAACCCACACAGTGCATGCATAAGTTGCAAAGTAAGGCTCCCGGTCTGTGAAAGAACCCTGTTGTTTGTCTGGGCCACCAAAGAAAGTGGCTGGACTAGATGACAAGTAGCAGATGCAAAGGACACTGAAAATTTCCCATCCTTTTAGGATGGTCTTCATTTGCAGCAGAACTAGATGTATGTAACAGCTAACTCTTGACCAGTCTAGGGGGAATTCATGGAATTCTGATTAGTGGGTCCCTTGTTCAATTTTAGAGAACAAAATTCAAAATAACATACATTGTAGAAGTAGTTTCCCAAAGTGTAATGAAAAGGAAGCTTTGTTATTATTCACAGCATTATAGAAGATACAAAACTGTTGTGTCTCTCTCACCAATCCAAGTGTCAGACGTTTCTCAACTGCCACAGATAGCGATCCGGAAGCAATAAACTGCCCAAAAAAAGGGAATGATGCATTAGAACAGCACTACCCTGTCTGCACCTGTACAGTCCATGAATCATTGGCTATTAGTCCACTGAGAGCTTCCAGAAATAAAAGAAAGAGTTTGAGCCAATTGATACAAAGATTGTACTCATAAAGATTAGGGAGGACAAAGGCTGGTGTTATTAAAAACTTACTGTACTACAGTTCACATTCAAAATATCTCTGTATTACAAACAAAACAACACTTGTCTTGCATGGAATGAATGCTGAATAATAGCCCACTCTTTCCCTTGAAGAGCAGCCAAATGTATCCAGTAACTTCATTATTTAAGTGATTCCACCTTCAGGTTTAACAGCAGCCTCCTACACTACTCTGGGTTTTAGCAGCTCCACCAAGTATCATACAGTAGATCCTATTTCCAACCTTTGTTGGAATTGAGTCACCCGTTGTACATGCCAACTAGTATCATCTTTCAAGCAGAGGTCTTATTTAATGTATATCGCCTTAATCTACTAAAATACAGTTCATATTCCAACTGCTGGTCCTTATGTAACCCATATAATACTATTTGCAAAGAAAGCTGAAGATATCAACAGCACTGGGAGAAAACTGATACATGCAGAATACAAATAAAAACCCCTAAAGGAAGAAGGAAGAATATCTGGGGTTCACACTAACAGTGGGACATTTTCTTGTGGCGTTTCAATTGAATTCTTAAATTTACTTAACATCTATAATACAAACATATGCACATGCATGTAAAATATTTTTTTACTCTTCAAATTATATCTATAGGCCATTCCTTTTAAAGACAATTGCTTACTGTATATACTCATTCATAATTCTAGAATCTTTACTCAAAAAATCAACCCCACAAAACTGGGTCTGCACATCCATAAGTCAATGGAAGTACTATACCTTCGTGTTTATCAAAAAGAAACCAACCCCTTATTTGATTAGAGTGGTGAATGGCACAAGTCAATCTATCTAAAAGAATCATTGATTCTTTCTCCTCTCTCTACCATGGCTCTGCTTCTGACTTTTTTGAATGATAGAAGAAGGGTGAGAAAATGGCAGCAGCAGCCTGGACAACTTATTCATTGACCATATCAAAATTCATAATTTTGGCTTCCAAACTGTCTTTAATAATAATAATAATGATAATAATAATAATAATAATAATAATATATTATTATTATTATTATTATTATTATTATTATTATTATTATTACCCACCTCTCTTTGTGGCTCGAGGCAGGTTACAGCATAATTAAAACACATAAACATTGTAAAAATTCTATAAATATGTATATTTTTTTATAAAAGACACATATTAAAACGTATTTCTATATAATACATATTAAAATACATAAAGAGATTAAGCACAATATACAATTTTTAAATTCATGTTTAAAACTGGCTAGGAAGGCCTGCCAGAAGAGATAGGTCTTTACATGGTTTTTAAATTCCGACAGCTGATCTAGCTTTCGGAGCTCTACCGGCAGGTCGTTCCAAAATCTTGGGGCAGCTGATGAAAAGATTCTCTGGGTGGTGAATGACAGTCAGGTTCTGGCTGGTTGGAGTAGCTGCCCCCCAGAGGACCTAAGTGTGTGTGGTGGGTTGTATGGGAGAAGGCGATCCTGTAGGTCAGGGGTTTTCAAATTGTACTCCATGGAGCCCTTGGGGCTTTGCAGATGATAGTGAGGGGCTTCATGGCATCATGCTGTTTCCCATCTCCTCCTCTTTCCTTCTCCTGAGAAATGCAGGGAAATTGAAGTTTGAGCTGCTGGAAACAGCCACAGCCTCCTCCCAGATCACAGACCTCCCCCCCCCCCACTGCCCAGACACTTCTCCTTGCCACCCAAACTCTTCCCCCCTCCCTTGCTCCCCAGACTCTTTCTCTTGCTGCCGAGATCCTTCACACTGCTTTCTTTACTTCCTAAACACTATTCCCCTCCCGCTGTGCAGGGGGTGCTTTGATTGTGTTTTTCCTGCATGGCAGAAGCGCTGGACTCAATGGTCTCTATGGTTTCTGCTATTATTATTATTATTATTATTATTACTAATATTACTATTATTTCAAAGGCTGGATGGCCATCTGTTGGGGGTGCTTTGATTGAGATTTTCCTGCATGGCAGAAGGGCTGAAATGGATTCCTCCTGGAGAATCTGTTAAGTTTATGTTAGTTAAAAGTATTCTTCATTTTATTTTTATATTTTTTCAATATATTTGTTTATTATCTTTAGTACCTAATTATTCTTCATTTTAAATATTGTATTGCCCTCTCTTTCCATTTTTTGCACTGTGTGAATTAGTTCACACAAGCACTCTCCATTCACCTGACATTGACCAGGCCCATGCCTGAAATAATCTATAAACATTTATTGGGATTCCACAAGAAATCTTTGCTTCAAAAAGGGCTCCGCGGCTGAAAATGATTGCGAACCTTGCTGAGGGTAACCTGGATCCAAACCATGTAGGGGTTAAAGGTCAAAACTAACACTTTGTAATTTACACAAGAGGTCAATTTATATATAAGTATCAATCACTATGGACAATAAGTAAAAATGTACCTAGTTCTGCAATATCTAGATTCCCAACTATTGACAATGAAACAGACTGGGTCTCAGACAGACATCAACAATGAAAATAAAAATATGCTACTTACAAAAAGTCCTCCAAAGGCCATGAGCCATCCAAAACTAACAGCCCCAAATCCAAAATGTATTAATCCAATCATGATCTGGACAGCCTGGGGAAAGATACAGCAGAAGCAAAACAAAATAGTGACCTTTTCCCTGTGAAGACTTAAACCCTGACTTATTAAGCATAGCTTGAAAATGGCATTTGTAAACACGGGACAAAAACCAGGTAGGTGATCCCATTTAATTCTGGAGTGAGGACTGGACAAGTAAGGTGTGGTTTCCTATTCAGTTTCACAAATACTGAATCTGGGACCAGTGTCCAGCCAAGTCAGGTTTGCCTTGGTCCTGCTGGACTGTAGCCTTGTCCTCTATGTCACTGCCACGGCTTTCCACTGGTCATGGACTTCTGGCCACCACTTATTAAGTCTGCTGATGTCAGAATGGGAGACCCTTCTTTTTTGCTGGTTGCATGGATGTGCCCTTCTGACATCAAAGACATGACTGTAATGATAAGCATTCAGACAGAACTCTGTGGCTTTTAGAAAGTAGTAATGGAAATGCAAAGGTTGAGCCATTACCTTCCTCTACATCTGTCAGTCTCCATGACACACAATGACTTCCAGTGAGTATCCCAGGGTTTCTGGCTTTAATTGGACTTTGCTCCATTTCAGACAAAATTGGGATACTCTGGATTTTGCTGGAAACTCCAGAATATGGTCCAACTTGGCCAACAGAGCAAAGTCACATTCAACCCAAGAAAACATGAGATACTCACTGAAGTTGCTGTTTGTCTTGAAGACAAGTAACAGTGGATTCACTGTGAGTCCGGGTTTCTTGACAAATGTAGACAAGCCCTTGGTCTCCTTCTTGAGGCTTTCTAAAGGTGCTCTCCACTGGTCAGAAAAGACCATGCTTTTTTGGGATTGGGATACTCTGGAAAAGTGTCGCTGGAAGCTACACTGCACACTCCTGAGTCAGCTGAGGAGGTGGATGGTGGTATCACTGTGTGGACATCATTGTTTATCACAATTTTCATGCCTGGTGGGGACTGCAGATGCCAATGCAAGGTAGGTGCCATCCCCTGTCTGTAGAAGGGACAAAATTTAAGGCTGTGTTAACCAGAATCAGTCAGTATTGTTGTGCAAACACCACAGAGTTGATTAGCTCTCCCTTCACAATAAATATGTCAGTGTAGATGGATCCTAAGAGTACACCAACAATATCCAGTTTGCATTCTATGCTTAGTTCCTTATTCTGTTTTATTGGCTGATGTTTCTATTGAAGGAGTCACATTTTGCTGGATACAACCTATTCATTTCTCCTAGGTTCCTCTCACCAAAAAGAGCAGTTAAATTAGCTGGAAATTAAAAGCTCACCGTATAACCATTATATCTGCAGGGGATATGCTCCCAGATTTTGTGCTGATACCCAAAAACATAGTGTAAAACATACTCCTTTAATTCACCAGAGAGAGATCTGAGTAGAGGCTCAAGAGACTGTGATGACAATCAGTTAAGTAATTGTAAGGGAGGTAAAGGATGAGATCAGGGAAAAAGATTGGAAATGGAGATGCAGAGAAGAGGAGGAGGATAACAAGAGGACAGAAATATATGCACTTAAATATTCCTATGAAGAAGATGAAATAAAAGCGCTGTTGTGAGTATCTTGACAAGTCTGTGTTTTATTTATGGCAAAGAGAGGCTTTCACCATACAGGTCAAAGCTTATGCAATTCCTCCCCCAATGGAAGAGGACCAAACTGCAACATGTAGATAATAATGAGCCCTATTGAAATGAAGAACTTCTGACCCAAGAATACTATAAAGTTGTGCTGGGGGACCCCAAAAAAGTAGATAAATGCAACTGCAGATAATGGTCCTGTGGATATGGGAGTCACCCAAACCAGGATTCCTCACTTATTGCACAACTCACAAAATAAGGAAGCAAACTATTTTTGTTCTGAGTTCCCAAGTTCTTGCTCCTTTGAGCAGAGATCAAAGATTCTCACCCCCAAAGTCTTGAGCTCCACTTTGGCAAGTTTCTCTAGAGGTCCCGGTTGAGGATTCTGCTCAGGTGAGTTGCTGGGGCTTCCAAACTGCTGCCCTAGTTGTTGTATATCAGTACCTGTATCAGGAAATCCCTGGCCTGCTTGATATGTGTTGGCACCATTAAAGGGAATGTGCACTACTGTTCCACTAGCCATGTTTAACAGATGTATTCCCTCAGATAAGTAATCTGCAGTCAAAGAAGAAAAACAAACAGTTTCTCAGGTTTGGACCAATGTTAAAAATATCCACTATGGTGGACACATAGATCAAACTCCCTGCCACTCATTTGATTCATGAATAAACAATCAACAGAGAATCCATCTTTATTTACTCAGTTAACAAAGCATTAAAACACAAAAAATACATTAATTACACATATTTAGATTTATAAAACTAGGTTAATAGAAATAAAACAATATAAAAAGTCTGCAAGTACTAAATACCGCATGGACATAAACATTATAAGAAATTGATGACACAGTCAGAAAAGGACTCCATTGGAGGATGCATTAAATCCCGAGGCCCCTTCCACACACTTGTATAAAATCCCACATTATTTGCTTTGAACTGGGTAATATGGCAGTGTAGACTCAGATAACCCAATTCAAAGCAGATCTTGTGGATTATCTGCCTTGATATTCTGGGTTATATGGCTGTGTGGAAGGGTCCTTAGCTTCTTGATAATCATTGCAATGTAAAAAAAATTAAGATGGACTGTATCTCAAAGTTTGTTATGGGAAAGTTATGCATGAGTTGTTCCTTTTCAGTAACAACCAGGCCCATAGCCAGGATTTTGATTCGGGGGGAGCTGAGTTTGATTCGGGGGGTGGGGGGGTGGGGCTGTGTCTGAGTGAAAGAGGGTCTACCCTAGCAAACCTTTTGTATCGTTACCCCAATACCCCCCATGCATATGGGATATATTGAGCATGGTGATCAGATCATGATATGAATAAACATAACAGTTTAAATAATGTACCAGTAAGGCCTTCTCGCGGATCACCATGAGAATTTCGGGGGGGGAGGGCTGAAGCCCCCCCCCGGCTACATGCCTGGTAACAACATATATGAAATTGTGAAAAAGGAAAAAGGGGGAGAAAAGAGGGTTTTCGCCTTTGCGTGCTAGAGAAAATTAAATGGAATGAAAATTAAATTGAACAAATCCTTTGTATTCATTCTTTAATGAAAGCAAACTGTGTAGATAAACTGTAAACTCCTTTATCGCCTAAAAACAACAAATTAACACTGCTCTAACCAACTATAAGCACAACTTCCTCTTCAGTTGTGTTCCAGCTTTCATATGACCCCATTTTAGGAGGCATGGCCTCTTCCTCCATTTTCCTAAATCTCTATTTGAACTGGCATATCTTTGCAATGCTAGAGTTGAATGCAGGACACTAAATGCCAAGAAATTTCTTGGGCACAAAGGGAAACACTTGCAGATGGGGTCAAAGTGGTATTCCCAGGTTTTCAAAGGAGCAGTCATAATTCATGACAGGCAGTGTTGACAATCTGGAAGTATACATTAATTGTGTCATCACATACCCCCCCCCCCCCCACAATACTTGATGGCTACATTTTAATTCATGCCTCATGTTAGGAGTTAAGCTTTGGCCTCATGTTAGGCTTTAAGCTCTTGCCAATTTATTGGGGGGGGGGGTGTCTCAATTTTGTTTCGGACTTCATGTTAGGTTTTAAGTCTTGACAGTACATTTGAAGGCCTCATTTGGTTTCAGCCCTCAGTTCAGGCTTTAGGCCTTAGCCAGCATTCAGGGGAGGGGGGCTCATTTGGTTTCAAGCCTCGTTTTTGGCATTGTGCATTTTCCAATCTGTTTGGAGGCTGCCGCTCTGGAACGGCCTGCTGGAAGAACTCTGACAACTAATAAATGAGCTGTTGGAATTTAAAAACCATCTAAAGACCTATCTTTTCCTGCAGGCCTACCCAGCCAGTTTTTAAGCATAAATTTAAAATTCATTTGTTGTTGTTCATTCGTTCAGTCGTTTCCTACTCTTTGTGACCTTCATGGACCAGCCCACGCCAGAGCTCCCTATCGGACGTCACCACCCCCAACTCCTTCAAGGTCAATCCAGTCACTTCAAGGATGCCATCCATCCATCCATCTTGCCCTTGGTCGGCCCCTCTTCCTTTTGCCTTCCATTTTCCCCAGCATTATTGTCTTCTCTAAGCTTTCCTTTCTTCTCACGATGTGGCCAAAGCACTTCATCTTTGCCTCTACTATCCTTACAATGTTTATGTGTTTCAATGATTCTGTAACCTGCCTCAAGCCACAAGGAGATGTGAGTAAGAAATAAAATTATTTATATTTGGGGGGCTCCATTTACTTTCAGGCCGTATGTTCAGGCTTTGAGCTTTTGCTAGTGTATTTGGAAAACTTCATTTTGTTTAGGCCTCAGATAAGGCTTTAAGCTTTTCCCAGGATATCTGAAGGCCTGCATTTTATTGCAGGCTTTGTGTTCAGCTTTAGGCTTTGGCCAGTATATTGGGAGGCCTCCGCTTAGTTTCAGGCCGTATGTTCAGGCTTTGAGTTTTTGCAAGTCAATTATGAAAACTTCATTTTGTTCAGGCCTCCGATTTGGCTTTAAGCCTTTCCCAGTATATCTGAAGGCCTGCATTTTATTGCAGGCTTTGTGTTTGCCTTTAGGCTTCGGCCAGTATATAAGGAGGTCTCTGTTTAGTTTCAGGCCGTATGTTCAGGCTTTGAGCCTTTCTCGGTATATTTGAAGGCCTTCATTTTGTTTAGGCCTCAGATAAGGCTTTAAGCCTTTCCTGGTATATTTGAAGGCCTTCATTTCATTGCAGGCTGTGTGTTTGCCTTTAGGCTTTGGCCAGTATATTGGGAGGCCTCTGTTTAGTTTTAGGCCACACATCCAGGCTTTTAGACTTTGCTGGTACATTTGGAGGTCTCCATTTTGTTCAGACTTGATATCAGGCTTCATGACTTTGGGATGACTTGTTCCAGTGTTGCCACTGCCATTCCCCACTGACTTTGGAGCTCATGATCAAGGGTCTGGAGAACAAGTCCTATGAGGAGCGGCTTAAAGAGCTGGGAATGTTTAGCCTAAAGAAGAGAAGGCTGAGAGGAGACATGATGAGGGCCATGTATAAATATGTGAGAGGAAATCATAGGGAGGAAGGAGCAAGCTTGTTTTCTGCTGCCCTGGAGACCAGGACGTGGAACAATGGCTTCAATCAACAAGAAAGGAGATTCCATCTGAACATTAGGAAGAACTTCCTGACTGTGAGAGCTGTTTAGCAGTGGAACTCTCTGCCCCGGAGTGTGGTGGAGTTTCTTTGGAGGTTTTTAAACAGAGGCTGGGTGGCCATTTGTCAGGGGTGCTTTGAATGCGATTTTCCTGCTTCTTGGCAGGGGGTTGGACTGGATGGCTCATGAGGTCTCTTCCAACTCTGATTCATCTGCGTGTGCCTGGCAATTATGGTCATGTCTGCTGATGGCCACTCTACTCCCCTCCTGATCATATTGGTGCCCTATTCTGACATTGGTGGAAAACATCGTCTACGACACGGAGAGAAGGGGGTTGGGATAAACGTCCTAGGCCAGGCATGGGCAAACTTTGGCCCTCCAGGTATTTTGGACTTCAACTCCCACCATTCCTAACAGCTGATAGAAAAAAGTTGAAAACCTGGATGTGGGACCAGGCATTTGGACATTCTGGCAGCTAAAGAAGGACTTGATGTCGAGCTAGAACTTGACGAGACGGAATGGATTTACGGAACTCCGAACGCTGAGCTCAGGATTAGCCTACTACTGTGTTTATGGTATTGTTTTGTATTGATGATATAATTTTTAATTTGTAATTGTTTGTGCCTTTCTCTGTAAGCCGCCCTGAGTCCCCCCTTGGGGGTGAGAAGGGCGGGGTAAAAGTGCCGGAAATAAATAAATAAAAAATAGGACACTAATTCCAGATTCCAGTGTCCAAACTTTTAATGAGACTTTCAAACATGGCCCAATTTTAAAAAGCAATTTATTTTCAATCACATTGAATGAAAATGCTGGCAGGAGGCCCCTCTAATAAATTTTCACCATGCTATTAGTTTATTTTCTGTCTAGTGTCGCAGCGGATAAGAACACTAAGGTTTCTGTATTATGCCGATTTGGAAAGAGGAAGTCATCAAGTCAGACACCTAACCCCCTTCTCACTCACTGTGCCCCAAGTCCTCTATTCTAATTTGATATATTTCCCCACTCCTCACTTGGGTGTCCTTCCTCATGAAGAACTTTTCCCATCTTGACCCCCCCCCCCCTCCACCTGCACCCCCAGATCTTGCTTGGTCAAACATCCTGTAATATATTAGAAAGTATATTTGCCCAGATGCCAGCCCCTGCCAGAAAATAATTCCTCTTCATTCATCTCAAGCAGAACACAACACAACATTAACCTGCCCTTCATTCAAACTTTTCAGAGGTGTGCTCTGGATGAAATTAAACACTGGTCTCAAATGAAATGAACTCTCTCTCCAGAACTACTCACATTTTCTGTCTGTGCTGTATTTGTTTTCAAACTCCCAGCGTGGCTGGTTGAAAATGTGTCTCATGTGCAGTAAGAAGAAATGAAAGTGAGTTTATAGGCGGAGCTTTCTCTTGCCCTCCCAGTAGATCCTGCATTTGCTCCTTGCTGTCCTTGCTGTCCAATTTGGCCTAAAAATAATAAGAATGCATTGGCTACCCCAAAAAACTCCCCCGACAAGATACAGCTGAGATGCCAGGACGGTGGGCCCTCTGGGTTAAGGATAGTGCTGTTCAATGCCAGGTCGGTCAATGGAAAGACCTCCACTATTCGAGATCTAATTCAGGAAGAACAAGCGGATCTAGCATGTATAACAGAGACCTGGCTAGATGAGGGGGGAGGGGTGAATCTCACTCAACTATGCCCACCTGGCTATTCTGTGCAGCACCAGCCAAGACCCGGAGGGTGGGGAGGAGGAGTTGCAGTGGTCTATAAGGTTTTTATCCCCATCCCACAATCATCATCATTTGAATGTGCCGGCTTCAGGTTAGGTGACCGGGACAGGATAGGGATTCTGTTAGTGTACTGACCACCCCGCTGCACGACAGTCTCCCTACCTGAGCTAGCAAATGTGGTCTCGGATATGGCGTTGGACTCCCAGCAACTTTTAGTCCTGGGGGATTTCAACATCCATGCCGAGACCACCCTTTCAGGTGCAGCTCAGGACTTTATGGCCGCCATGGCAACCATGGGCCTGTCCCAATTAATATCTGGTCCCACCCATACGGCCGGTCACACATTGGATTTGGTTTTTACTCAGGGATGGGGTGATAGTGCTGGGGTGGAGGAGCTAACCATCGCTCTGTTGCCATGGACCGACCACTACCTGATCAGGTTTAGACTTACTGTACCTCCCAACCTCCGCAGGGGTGGTGGACCCATTAAAATGGTCCGCTCCAGGAGACTTATGGATCCAAATGGATTCCTGACGGCTCTTGGGAATTTTCCCACCTTCCTGACTGGTGATTCTATCGACGCCTTGGTCTCTCACTGGAATTCTGAGATGACCAGGGCAATCGATGTAATCGCTCCGGAACGCCCCCTCTCGAGTAGCCGGGCTAACCATGCCCCTTGGTTCACTGAGGAGCTGGCAGCAATGAAGCGAAAGAAGAGGTGGTTAGAGTGCGTGTGGTGCCAGAATCCCACTAAATCAGCCCAAACACATATGAATGCCTTCTCAAGGTCCTATGGTGTGGCAATAGTGGCAGCACAAAAAACATCCTATGCGGCCAGTATTGCATCGGCGAAGAATCGTCCAGCTGAGCTCTTTCGAGTTGTCAGGAGTCTATTAAATCCGCCGGAAAGCGAGATCCCTGACAGCTCGGGAGCTCGCTGTGAAGCATTTGCTCGATTCTTCACGATAAAATTGCGCTGATTCGGTCGGGATTCGACGCCACTTTAAATGCAGTCTCTGAGGATGTGACGAGAGCATCTGCTTGTCCGGTTTTATTGGATTCATTTCAATTGGTTCAGCTTGAGGATGTGGACAGGATCCTTGGGGAGGTGCGACCCACCACATGCATCCTAGACCCCTGTCCATCCTGGCTGATTAAGGAAGCCAGAGGGGGTTTGGCAGAGTGGGTGAAAGTGGTGGTTAATGCCTCCCTTCGGGAGGGCATAATTCCAGCGAGCCTAAAACAGGCTGTTATAAAACCGCTGTTGAAAAAACCATCACTGGACCCCACTCAATTAGACAACTATCGGCCAGTTTCCAATCTCCCCTATTTGGGCAAAGTCATGGAACGTGTGGTGGCAACACAACTCCAGGGATTTCTGGTAGACACTGATTATCTAGATCCGGCACAGTCTGGCTTTAGACCAGGACATGGAACGGAAACAGCCTTGGTCGCCTTGGTAGATGATCTGCGCAGGGAGCTAGACAGGGGGAGTGTGTCCCTGTTAGTTCTGCTGGACCTCTCAGCGGCCTTCGATACCGTCGATCACGGTATTCTTCTGGGACGCCTCACAGAGATGGGACTTGGGGGTACTGCTTTGCAGTGGCTCCGGTCCTTTCTTGAGGGACGGTCCCAGAAGGTGTTGCTGGGTGACACCTGTTCGGCTCCACAGCCGTTGTCATGTGGAGTCCCTCAGGGTTCAATTCTGTCCCCAATGTTGTTTAACATCTACATGAAGCCGCTGGGGGAGATCATTCGGAGTTTCGGACTGAAATGTTATCTCTACGCGGATGATGTTCAGATCTGTCACTCCTTTCCTCCTGTCACCAAGGAGGCTGTCCAGACCTTGAATCGGTGTTTAGCTGCTGCGTTGGACTGGATGAGAGCTAACAAATTGAAATTGAATCCAGACAAGACAGAGGTCCTACTGGTCAGTCGCAAGGCCGAACAGGGTATAGGGTTACAGCCTGTACTGGATGGGGTTACACTCCCCCTGAAGACGCAGGTTCGCAGCTTGGGAGTGATCCTGGACTCATCGCTGAGCCTGGAACCCCAGGTCTCAGCGGTGGCCGGGAGAGCTTTTGCGCAACTAAAACTTGTGCACCAGTTGCACCCGCACCTCGGGAAGTCTGATCTGGCCACAGTGGTCCATGCTCTTGTGACATCCCGTATAGACTACTGCAACACACTCTACGTGGGGTTGCCCTTGAAGACTGTTCGGAAACTCCAACTGGTCCAACGAGCGGCAGCTAGACTGCTACTGGAGCGACATACAGGGAACACACCACCCCCCTGTTATGTCAGCTCCACTGGCTGCCAATTCAGTTCCGAGCACAATTCAAGGTGCTGGTTTTGACCTACAAAA